CTGAACAGATTATGTGGGAGTTCATGTATAAATAGAAAAGAAATAACCAACCAATAAACTTAATAAATAAAAAAGTTACCATTAAACATAATAATATCCTAAGGCTTGTTAGGCTACAAGAAGGCACTGAGGGTACTACAGAAAATTGTTCAAATGTGAGATATAAGCATTCACCCAGAGTTTTAAAAAGAGCATTTAGAACACCAAATAGACAGAACTAAAGAAGAACCTCTCCACATCATATCATAGACAAAATACTAGAAATTCAGAAAAAAGAAACAGGATTATAAGAATTAAAGAAGGGCCGATGCTTCAGAATAACGGCAGATATCTCAATAGAAACCTTAAAGTCCGTGAGGACTTGAAACCAAGATTTCTAAGCCTTGAAAGAAAATAATTCCCAAACAATATTACTACATCCTGCAAAGCTATCTTTCAAAACTGAAAGAGAAATAAAGACCTTCCATTATAAATGTAAACTACAGAAATGTATGCGCATCAAGCCAGCATTGCAGAAAATGTATAAGGGAATTCTACACACAGGCCAAGATGACTAAGAGACAATGGGAAAGAGTACATCTCACTTGGAGAAAAAAGAATAAATGAACAACAGAAATGAATGAAAAATCAGTAAAACAAAAAAATGACAGGAACTAGGGTATACTTTTCAATAAAATATTTAATATTAATGGTCTTAACTCTCAGAAAGACACAGATTAAAAACTAACATCATCCAGCTATTTTTTGTCTTCAATAAAGACACCTCATCTGCACAAACAAGCTTGTCTCTTCTAAAATGGAAAATTTGGAAGAAATTAATAGATTCCTAGATATGCCTAAATTACCAAAGCTGAATCAAGAAGATATAAAAAATCTTGAGTAATCAAATATCAGTCAATGAAGTTGAAAAAGTAATGAAAGAATCACTAAGAAAAGCCCAGGCCTTGATGGATTCACTACCGAATTCTAGAAGAACTTTAGAGAAGATCTAATGCCAACACTCCTCAAACTCTTTAAAGAAATTGGAAGAGAAGCAATATTTCCAAAGTCATTCCTGGAAGCAAGCATCACATATTTCATCCTTTAAGGTTAAAATGCCTACTGAACCTCACTAGATTCTTATACACAGGTAATAAGTAACCCCTGAAAATAAACTAAATTTGTCAACAACATGATGTGAATTGCTATGCTGTCCAAATACATTTTTTCTTGTAAAAGAAAAATTTTAATATGGATACTTGATGTAATGTGTCTGGTTTTATACCTATTTGTCTCTGAAGGAAGATTGGGTTAAAGAACTAAAACAAAAAATCTATTTGGCAGATAGGTTCAAGCATATCATACTTTGGGTAGCATATAAAATGTATATGAAATTAAAGCAACAGAAAGGCAGGCTTCTAAAAACACTGCAATGTGTCCTCATCCACCTTGTTCACCAGGTCTGGCACTGTGTGTCTTCCACCTCTTGCCCAAAGACAAAATGACTGTGAAAAGTAAGAATTTTGAATCCATTCAGGACATCTAGGCAGCCACAACAGTGCAACTAAAAACACACAGAAGAGATTTCAAGAATGGCTTCAGAAAGCAGCAAAAAGGATAGGATAAGTGTGTTCAAAGGGAGGGGAAATACTTCTTTTAGGTTTGGTACCAGGGTTGGAACTCAGGACCTTGCGCTTGCCTGGCAGGTGGCAGCACATCCCCAGCTGGGTAGGGAAATGTTTTCAGGGTGACAACTGTTAATGTGTCCTTTATGGTAATTACTTTTTTAAAATTTAAACATTCATTGCATTTTTCTATCACACCTCATATTCTCCAATAACAAGAAAACATGATAAAAGTCATTGTCCCTTATATTGGCTTAATGGAATCCACATCACATAAATAGTGTTTTTTTAATAAAATACAGTGACATTTAAATTTAGTTTCTAATTACAAGCTTGTGAATATTTGCCTTATTGTGTGGCAATGCTTTTAAAAAAACAGATTCCAAACTTCGATGAATTATAATGATTGATAAGCTTTATTGCCACATATCATGTGTTTGCCTTCATTTTGCAAAAATGTACTAAAATGTTCAATGCTTGAGTGTTGTCAACTACTTGCTGTCCTAGAAGCCATACTTAGCATTTGTGGATGCCGCAGAAATAGGGCCTGGGGTCCGGAATTGACAAGCAGGTTCACACCAGCACTCTGAGCAGCCCTACTCTCTTCCTCTCTCTGTTCCACTGCCTACGTTCTTCTCTTCAGGCTTCTGCTACTGATGCATCACTGAACTGCCACTGCAGATCCAGGTCCCAGCCAGCCCTGCACTTTCTCACTCCGGACTCCCTAGAAAGAGACACAACCAAGTAACCAGGCCACCAGGGCCACTGGCTTGAGCCCTATCGTACCCATATTTCCGCACAGCATATGATCCACTGTCACGGCAGACTTTCCTTACCAAACCCAAGGACGAAGATGAAACGGAATTTCAAGATGGACACAGCACAGGACACTGCGCAGGGAGAGGGGAGGGGAAGGGAGGAAGAAGAGGGAAGGGGAAAGAAGACCTCTTCAAGAAACAGCCACTATCTTACTACATAAGCCACACATCCAGAAAGCTGACCCTGAAAGAAGAAATAGGAAAAAGAGGAGCTGGTGATGATATGTTAATGTAACTATAATTTTAGCGAACACTCAAACCAGTGTTTTTGTTTTAATCATTCCCAGTAAAGGTGCGGTGGATTGATTAATGGGCAACTTGTAACGCCCAGCTGAACTGAATCAGCGTGGTCTGGGCATGGAGGATCCATCTGAGGATTGTTGTCAATGGCCATAAAAATAGAACTGGAGAAGATCTTAGCCTGCTGATTTTCTAGAAGAAGATTGCTGCAGATGGTTTTCCTGATATGAACTAGGCTGTTCTTGGAGGAGGAGAAGCTCAGGGCCTCCCTGTCGCTGGGAATGGCTGCTGTTTTCATCAGAGGAGCTCTGATCTCCACCTTGAGCATCACTTCCCAGCTCCACTGTGGATCCCTCAGCCTGGTGGCACAAATTCTTCACCTCACCAGCTAGGTTTTCTGGCTTTTACCACTGGCCTTTGGGCTTTCCAGGTGCAGACACTCAATAGGGACAAGCATGAGACATTGCTGTGGGATCCAGGCCACTGGCTGGACTCGTAGAGGACATTGCCTTGGACTCTAAGCCTTTAGCTGTACTTGTATAGGAAACTGCTGGGATTGAGGCCCTTGGCAGGATTCTTTGGGCCTCTAGCACACTCCTTTGCGTTTGACTTTTGGGTTAATTACCATAAAATAGTCCTATAAACTATGTGTCCTATAGTAAATGTATTATGTTACCAAAACCCTGACTACACAATGGGTTTACCCATTTATACTAGCAGAACTACCATTGCACCAAATAGTCTTCAGGGTCCCCTTTAAAGGCAATTTATGAAGCATATATTAAATCTTTTTAACATCACTATTTTGTTATCATGAAATAAAAGTACATTGTTCAAGTAGAGGACAATAATACATTCGTGTCTGTATTGCCCAGTACTCGCCCTTTTATTGTGGATTTTAGTGATTTTTACAATTATCTCCCATATGCCTTTATTATGACTAATAAAGCTCTTTTCAACCCTTGAAAATCTACATTTATCTCAATATCCCTATCCAAGATTTTTTGGAGAACTATTAAGAAATATAAAAGCACCTGACAGTTTTCAACAGGTAACATTATTCCAAGATGGCTGAGATCTCCCTTTGTGGGCTGTTCAAAGACACTATTGCACTTATTTTCAGTCAGAAGTGTTGTCTCAGTAGCTCTCTTACTATATAATTAAGCAAATTAGTACTTCCTGAAAAGTCCTTAATAAAATAAATCTCTTATTCTTAAAGCAATGGGATTGTTTTCCTTTTGTTGTTATTGTTGTCTGTGCTTATGGGCACTGGACCCAGAGCCCTCTACCACATCCTCAGCCCTTTTTGTATTTTAGGATGAATTCTCACTAAAATGCCCAGGCTGATCTTGAATTGATGATCCTAGCCTCCTGCCTCAGTTTCCCAAGAAGGTGGGATTATGGACCTGCACCACCACACCCAGCAATGCATTGTGTTTTTACTCTCAAGCAATAAAGATTCAGTGGTGAACTCTTATTTTCAAAAACATGATGATAACCTAAGAGTAGACTAAAAACAAAGTTCTTTACAAGTCAAAGATGTTGTGGGCAGAGTTGTCCCCAACCCTGATGTAGGGTTAAATAGAAAGGATCTATGAAGGGAGATAGTGCCTGCCACTGCTCTTTACTGTCCTGGGAGGGCAGAAAAGAGAAACTGTGGAGCACTTCTGAGTTGAAATGTCATCGGGACTGACTTGTCAAAAAACGAATATGACTAAAAAGTCAAGAAATCAGCTCAGATATGTTAGCAAAATTAGCTATTTGGCAGAAAAAATATTTGACAGAGAAGAGTGGTAATAATTATTGAAAAAATAAAATTCTCCCATATTTAAACATGAGTTCACACACAAATTATATACAAAAATGTATACTTTCTTATGCTTTTGTGTCTACTTTTCCTAGCGACTGGAAGATTATTCTTATACTTCTTAAATTTCAAGTTACCCTGAAAGACCAACTCAGATTCCATCTTATTCTGTGAAGTCTTTTGTATTTTAAGCACATTCTCTTCTTTTCCTTGCATAAAATTGCAAGCATCTGTTATCAATTACTTGTTTTTATTTCTCTCTTTAAATAGCTAACTTCTTGACAGAAGATAGATCATTCATCATAGTATCCATAGTACAAGTCTAGCATAGATTAAGCACTGAAATAATAAAAATCTATTTGAATTAATTGTTGTTAATTTAGTACAGTTTATAGTGATTTTTTAAAAAGTAATACAATATGTAACAATGACATTATTTGATCAGCTGAATGAATACATAGAACCCAAAATGCCTCATGTGAAGGAAACATTTTGTTGATGTTCTGGCAAAAAGTTTTAAATGTGACATCAGTTTTCTAATTGCTGTATCTTCAATCGAATGGCTTTCTCAGTCTGTTTTCTCATTGCTAAAATGGAAGTAATAAAAATCAATTTTCATGATTATTTAAGAAGATTGAAGGAGATCATCATTAATTTTCTTGCCCAGTATATAGGGGAAATTAAATAAATATGTTTTCCTTTTCTTCACACCACTCCATCTTAAAATATCACCTTCACTGTCTTAGAGTTTTACTCTTAATATTGTGCACAAAAATGCAAAAAGAACGAAGCATATTTAGCATCATACTTAGTATGCAGCAGGTCCTTACTATCTGGAATTCGCCCTCTCTCTCTCTTCCTTCTTGTGGTTGAGCGTAGCACTTTCTTTAGTTTCCTAGTCATTGGCAGGAGCAAGAAGGTGATGGGTAGGAAGAGCAAGGAGGGGACAGGTAATGGGAAGCCCGGAGGGATGGAGCCATCACTCCCCTCCATACATCCGTTTGCCTAATTCACAAGACTATGAGACCAAGCCAATCGGGGCTGAGCTCAAATCGTTGCTCCACAAGTTAAAAACTACACCACAGTGGGGAAGTTACTTAGTGGCTTTGTCTTTAGGTCTGAGTTTCTCACCGCTGAAATGATACACACTCATTTTCAGTGATGTTTCAAGATTACCTCCCATGCATTAAAGTTTTTATTGCAGAGAATGACCTCAGTGCAAAGTAAACATTGCAGTTACTGAAAGTTTATGTGGTCAGTGGCAAAGCTATTGTCTACCGACCACGCACATAGATACAATAGACTCTGCTTGACCCCTTGTATGAGGTAGAATTCTAAAGATGCTCCCCCAATATTACCAAGACCTTGTTACTCTGCCAAGCATTAACATAGTTACTGCTGCATACTTCTTGGTGTAATAAAGTTTATATACCACAACACAAAGAGTTTACCCTGGATAATTTAGACACTCCAATATTAACACTGGAGTCCTTTAAAGAGAGAAATGTCTCTATCTGCCTTAGGACAGAGATGCAATGGAACAGGAAAGCAGAGGTATGATGAAGCAGAAAGAAAAACTGAATAAAAACTGTGCTCAAATCTCCACAGCTTTTATTAAAAATGGAAAGTTAGAGACATTTATCGCTAAACGGATGGACATTGAGGAGATACTCTTAAGTTGATTAAATAGGACACACGTGTAAATACCAAATAGCTTCTCTAGTCTGAGAAGCTGCAAGTGTAAATAAGGACTAAATGGTATAATAGATAATGTGAAATAGGAAGAAAGGGACAAAGGGGAAGGGGAAATGGGAGGGGTAGGGGAATGGAATTAATGTGAGAAAATGAAAAGTAATGGAAACAAAGTCTTGTAGATAGGGAGGGAGGGAGGGGGTTGAAGGGAGGACAGGGGAATGGGGAAAAAATAAGAACCAAGATTGACTATGTAAAGGTACAAATTTCCAACAATGAATGTCATCATATTTTATGCTTTAAACGTAACACTAAAATTAATCTTTAAAACTGGAGGAGGGTGTATTAGGTGTGTAGCTCAGTGGTAGAGTACTGGTCCAGCAAGTATGAGACCCAGGCTTTGATCCCCAGCCATGTAAAATATAATTATGATGATGATGACGATGATGATGATGGAGTTAGAAAAAAGAGAGAGAAGGCCATATTCCAAGGAATTCAGGCCAACCATAGAAGCACAAAACAGATTATCAGGAAATGGGGACCTCAGTTGTACAAACCCATGGAACTAAATACTTCCAACAATCCAAGTGAGTTTGGAAGCAGATTCATTCCTAGAGACTCTCGAAGCAACATACCTGGTCAGAACGTTGAATTTGGCTTTAAGAAACCTGAATCAGGGAACCAGCTGAGCCGTCCTGCATCTGGATTTCAGATGTGCAGACCTGTGAAAAAACAAATGGATGTCGTGTGTAATTGCTGAATTTGTGGTAATTTGTTATGGCAGCTATACCAAATGAATATATCCGCAATGGAAAATTCAAAAGATTATTAAAAACAGGAAGCATTTGAATCCAAAGAATATGTGGGAGTCATCTTTAATTCTCTCTGTACCTGTGGTCCACATATACTTAATGCTTTCAATCCACCTATCCCTGAAACTAATAAAACAAAGTCTAAAAAGATAATCATAAAGTATTATTCCTTCATTATCACAGTCTATTAATATAGCAAAAAAACCCATAATTTTCAAGTATGTCTACTGTTTCACATAATTTTTAGAATGAATTGTTATCCCACCAAATGAATCATGTAATATTCCCAGATTTTAAAGAAACGTAAAGGAATTTTTATAGCTATGGTTGATGAGCACTTTCAGTCACATTATTAGGAAGCAAATTTTGGTATCTACAAACAAGAGGCATAGCCATGCCTATGTGTGCTGAACAGAAAAAATTAGCGCAAATGTTCCTGACAGCTGAGACTGAGCTATAAAAAAACTGTGGGAATGTGCTTAGCAGAGACGCTACCAAAATAGAACGCACTCTTTAATTGAAGAATGACAACTTGTAAGAAGCTGCTGTTTCCTACCTGCCCCCCTCAGTGGCCTAATTTTTATTTTATTTCATTTGTAGCAATTTTGCTACCTCTCATCTATCTGTTAACTATTGATTTTAAGTAAATATTCTACAGTTTGTTGACAGCGTTTGGAAAAGCAAATCTTTCATTGATGTTCTAAATCACCAAGTTGTAAAAATGCCTTTTTATTATCACCTCTCATCAAAATGCTCAAACCAAGAAACTGGAGATGTCAAGTGCATCAGTCAGTTAACTTTTGCTATTAAAAAATACTCAAGAAATAAGTTAAAGGGAAAAAGATTTATTTTGGCTCACGGTTTCAGTCCATAGGCTTTTAGGCCTGTGGTGAGGCAGAATGTCAAAGGAAAGCTGCTCATCTTATAGCAACAAGAAAGGATGGAGAGAGAGAGAGAGAGAGAGAGAGAGGAGTGAAAGACAGGCTGTGCTAGCAGGCTTCTTCCTGTTTTTGTTCCACCTACATCCTCACCTTGTTAGATGGTGCCATCTACATTCATGTCATGTATAACCATTTGTTTATTGTTCCCCAAGCCAATGGCCTCTAAAACACCCTCAGATACACCCAAAGGAACGGCTTGCTAATATCTCATTCCAATAAAATTCACAATCAAAATTAGCCATCATGTCAAGTGTCTGATCTACTCTGACATTCCTGGAGGCAGTTCTGACAGGGAAACTGAGTGGGACTAGCTTGAATTCTTTTATCATCTAATTCATTAATTCTTCAACTCAGCAACTGATTATTGAGCCAATACTGTAGTTTAGGAACTATGTTAGGTTGTAGTAACACAAAAGTAAAAATAATAGATACAATTTGTTTACTCTAGAAAGAAAGATATGTGGTAGAAAAGGTTGTAATAAAAGCTAGAGTTGATGAAATTGAGATAGAAAGGAGACCTTGCAAGTGTAAGGTCCTGAGTCCAATCCAAAAAAGACAGAAGGGAGAAAAGTTGACTCTCCAATTAAACAGATGACCCAAACAAAGACTAATTCCAAAAAGCTGGTAAAGAGATGAAAAGTGGGCAAAAAGCAAAAAAAAAAAAAACTACTAAGTGATTAAGGAACTTAGGAAGAAGGATCGTAGAGGCTCCAGAGTCTTCTCAGAGACATAGAGTGGGACACTGACACTCACTGAGTATCTAATAATAACAATTTTTGCATGAACACCAAATTCTACCAGTTTCAAATCAGTTAAGTACCAAGGCATAAATTATTATAAAGTCCTTCAGATCTTTCTCTTTGAGAGAAAGTGATTACTGACAGTAAGAATGTACATATGCATTTTGATACAGCTTTGGAAATGGTCAAAGGAATAGTAGTTATCTCTAATGCAATTCAACACTCCTCTTTTCAGGAGAAATGCTGGGTGATATCAGAAAGAATACCTTCTTTATTACCTCATACCCAAGTGGGCCATTGTAAAGATACATTAAAAAATCTTTGTTCCAAATACTTCATGTGTAATGCTTTGCCTTCAAAAACCAGTTTTCTGTATCATTAATCCTAAAGGAATTTTTCAAAACATTAGCGTCCTATGCTATTTTAAACTAGTGAGATTTAACAGTCATTTATGATAGGGCTGGGGATTTAGCTTAGTGACAACATGCCTACCTTGTAATCACAAGGTCCTGAGTTTGATCTGCAATACAGAAAAAAAAAACAGTAGTTTGAGATAAAGTTCAATATTTAGAAAAACAGAAGCAAGGGCAATAAGATGTTGGAAATGACAGAGGAAAGGAAGTAGATAGAAATATTCTTAACCTCTTTTTTATTCTGCCTAGAAGTGAACACAGAAGTAGCCACGATGAAGAAGAGGATGCATGAGGTTGACAATCACTAAAACTAAAGGAAAGCAGCATTTGTACTGGAAACCAGGCACCACCTCTTCAGGAGGGTTCAATGAAGCACTATAGCAATCACCCAAGATGTGCAACAGCAATGTTTCTGAACCCAGCACAGAGGGAAAATTTCTTGTGGATTGAGGTGGGAATTTGTAACTATCTCTAGACTTACAGTAAATTTTCTGGCAAAGGATGGTAATCTGAGTGGCATTCAGGAGGTGCTCAAGATCACTCTCATTTTGATGATTTCCTAAGGGAATTTTTAGAACTCAGGAAGCTATTATCCTCACTGTCACAGCTTATTATTATGAAAGGATACAGATTAAATAAATGTAATACACTATATTAACAGAATCAAGGACAAAAAAACCATATGATCATCTCAATAGATGCAGAAAAAGCATTCAATAAAATTCAACACCCATTTATGATAAAAACCCTGCAGAAAATTGAAATAGATGGTGTTTATCTAAACTTGATAAAGGCGATCTATGAAAAGGCAACAGCCAACATCATATTAAATGGTCAAAAACTGAAAACCTTCATGCTAAAATCAGGAACAAGACAAGGATGTCCACTATCACCGCTCCTATTCAATATGGTTTTGGAAACATTAGCCACAGCAATTACACATGAGAAAGAAATAAAATCAATTAAAATAGGAAAGGAAGCAGTGAAACTGTCATTATTTTCTAATGATATGATACTCTACACAGAAGACGCAAAAAAAAAAACTGCCAAAAGACATCTAGACTTAATTGAGAGAATCAGTAAATTAAATTAGCTGGATACAAAGTAACTATTCAAAAATCAATAGCCTTCTTGTACACAAATAACAGACTCACTGAGAGTGAACTTAGGAAAATAATACCTTTCACAATAGCATACAAAATAATGAAATATCTAGGATTCAATCTAACAAAGGAAACAAAATACCTCTACATTGAGAACTACAACACTCTGTAAAAAGAGATTGAAGAGGATATAAGAAAATGGAAAGAAATCCCTTGTTTCTGGGTAGGAAGAGTCAATATAGTGAAAATGGCCATACTACCAAAACTGCTATACAGATTCAATGCAATGCCTATTGAAATCCCAACAGTATATTTCATAGAACTAGAGAAAACAATCCAAAAATTTATTTGGAGCTATTCTAGGCAACAAAAACATGGCAGGGGGTATCACTTTCCCCAACTTTAAACTATACTACAAAGCCACTGTGACAGAAACAGCATGGTACTGTCAAAGAAACAGACCTGAGGATCAGTGGAACAGATTAGAAGATACAGAAATAACTCCTGACATACTCAACTACCTCATCTTTGACAAAGGAGCCAAACACCCTCACCAGAGGAAAGATAGTCTCTTTAATAAATGGTGTTAGAAAAACTGGATTTCAGCATGTCATAGATTAAAACTAGACCCATATCTTTCACCATGCACTAAACTAAAATCCAAGTGGATTAAGATCTAAATATTAAATCAGAAACACTAAAATTGCTGGAAGATAAGTTAAGTAGAACTCTTGAAGACGTTGGTATAGGAAAAGACTTTATGAATAAATCCTCAGTAGCATGAAAACTAGCACAAAGAAACAACAACTGGGATCTCATCTTATTAAAAAGTTCTGCACTGCCAGAGAAATCATAAGCAGAGCTAAGAAACAGCCCACAATTTGGGAAAAAATTTTTACCAACTACTCCTCGGACAAAGGACTACTATCTAGAATATATCAAGAACTCAAAAAAATCAGACCACACCCCAAAATCGAACCCCAATTCAAAAATGGGCACCTGAAATCAACAGAAACTTCTCAGACAAAAGGAAAAAGCAGTAAATAAATATATGAAAAAATGTTCAACATCACTGGTCATTTGAGAGATGCAGATGAAAACAACACTGAGATTCCATCTCATCCCAGAAAGAATGGCTGCTATCGAGAAATCGACAAATAACAAATGTTGGTGGGGTTGTGAGGAGATAGGAACCCTTCTTCATTGTTGGTGGGGAATGCAGACTGGTGCAACCACTGTGGAAATCAATACGGAAAAACCTCAAATAACTGGGATTAGAAGTCCTATTTGACCCAGCTATTCCTCTGCTGGGCATCTTACCAAAAGAATTATATGCTCACCCATGTTATAGCAGCACAGTTTGTAATAGCTAAAACTTGGAAATAGCCGAATTGCCCATCAACTGGAGACTGGATAAAAAATACGTGTTTTTTTTTTTATAAAATGGAGTACTACTCAGCCACAAAAAATGAAAATCTAGAGAAATTTATATCTAAATGGATGCACATTGAGGCCATACTTTGAAGTGCAATTAATAAGTCACACATGTGCAAATCCTGAATAGTTTCTCTGGTGTGAAAAAGTAAAAGTGTAAATAAGGATCAAAATGTATAACTGATATTGTGTAATAGGAAGAAAAGTCTAAAAGAGTAGAGAAGTGGAGGGGTAGGGGAAAGGTAAAAAGTAAAAGAAAAATATGGAAATAATGTCTTT